TTATGTGTACAATTAGATCGCTTTTGCGACAAAATGCCCTGTCACATCGCTCACAGCTAAAGGGCTTCTCCCCTGTATGTATTCTCATATGTATTCCTAGGTTCCCTTTCATGGTGAACATCTTGCCACATATTTCACAGGTAAAAGGCTTTTCCTTTGTATGGACTCTCATATGTAATTTTATTTCACTTTTACGGGAGAATGGTTTGTCACAGATCTCACAGTTAAAGGGCTTCTCCTTTGTGTGGACCAACATGTGACGCATCAGAGTTCTTTTCTCTGCAAATGCATAACTACATATATCACAGCTATAAGGTCTCTCCTTTGTATGAACTCTTGCATGTTTCAGTAATTCATACCTGTAAGTGTACTTCTTGCAACACAAAACACACATAAAACGTTTCCCTTTCCTATCAACTTGGAGAGAGCAATCCTCCACAGTTTCCTTGTGTGTAACCAGATCATCTGATGAGGTTTCTTCACAGTTTTCCTCCTCTGGCACTTTTAATGGATCTTCATAGTCACTCATTAAGATATTTGGGTCACTTTTAATGGTTTCCATATGAACAATTTCTGTTTCTTTGCATACTGAGCACTCATTAGCATTTACATCATCTTCAGTCTTTATAAAAGTGATATCATGATCAATAACATTTACATCATCTTCAGTCTTTATAAAAGTGATATCATGATCAATAACTTCTTCTATCACTTCTTGATCATTTTCTTTACTAATACCTTCAATATTTTTTTCTTCAACAAAAACAAATTCAATGGTATCCTCATGAGCTTTTGTATCTAAATGCAAACTGTCCATGTTTGGAGCTACAGTCTTTCACTCAGTATTGATAACTGCAAAGAAAAAAAAAAGGTACACTTGGACAACAATCAACAACTTGGTCTTCTTACTCTGTTGGTTAATTAACTGAGGAATCACACAAAAGTGCAAATAGTAATGTGAACTAATTCTTAATAAAAATTTTGCCATTTCCATAATTATGTTTTAATCATTATTTAAAAAAAGTGTACCAAGAATGTATTAATCTTTGTAAAAACAAAAAAAAATGTCATACTTTGAAGATATAAAATATTAGAAACTACCATCTTACCACACATGAGCACTGGATACCATGAGCATTGTGAGATGTACAAATTTCCATCCAATCAAGCTGTTCAAATTCTGAAAAGAAGAAAAACAAAAAAGTGAATAAAATCAACAACAAAAACATGCAGCAAGCAATAATGAAAACTCAAGAATGAATATTTTTGAAAGTGCAGACTTTATTGTGAGTGCATGTGTGTGTATATAATGTATGTTTGTGTATATATATATATATATATATATATATATATATATATATATATATATATATATATATATATATATATATATACATACACATATCTATTATGTATATATGTATGTATGAATTTATGTATGTACACACACACACACACACACACACACACACACACACACACACACACACACACACACACACACACACACACACACACACACACACACACACACACACACACAAGCATTTCTATTAAAAGAAATGAAATTAACAAATAATGGAAAAAAAAACATCCTGGTTATATGCACACATGACAAGTTCAAAATGTCATAATTCAGCATCATTTCATATTGTGGCTGATTCTCTTTCAACTTTGTGTATACTTTGTTTGTGTTTGTGTCCATGCATTCATGTTTATATATGAATATATGAATATAGATAAAAGTGTAATTATATGTGTGTGTGTGTGTGTGTGTGTGTGTGTGTGTGTGTGTGTGTGTGTGTGTGTGTGTGTGTGTGTGTGTGTGTGTGTGTGTGTGTGTGTGTACATATAAAATATACATATATACATATACATATACATACACATATACATATATATAAACATATACATATATACACATACACACACTGTGTGACTGATGGTTTGTGTGTGCGTGCATGCGTGTGCATGTGCGTGTGCGTGCATGTGTGTCTCATATAATATATATATATATATATATATATATATATATATATATATATATATATATATATATATATATATATATATATATATATATAGTGTATATACACACATCAAAATAGTGGTCCTGTACTATCCATGTTTATTAGGAATTTGCCACTGAACTCCCTAAACCCTGATAACTAGGGAGGGCATGAGATATAATGTAAACGAAATACATCACTATAATATCAATATATACAGGGTAAGTTACCATATTGTTTAGTCTAGGGAGCTGTGTCCCCTGCTATATCCCCAGTGGGGAGCTACTGTCCCCCAACCCCCAGCCTGGAAGAAAAAGAATCCTCCATGTATTCATGGCACATTAGAGCATAAAACTGACATGCAGTTCTATGCTCTGTCTGGCCATACATGTGTGGTGGATTCCTTGTTGTGGTGGACATAGAATTGCTCCTGCATTTAACTACATACAGACCAATTCTCTGCAAATAATTCACATTTCGCCCTGCCAAGAATGTCGGTACTGGAAGTGTTTCAGCAGATAATTCCTATATACATGGGTAGTAGAGGGTAAGAATAATCCACTGATAACCACTATCGTTGTGATTGATTATGTGAAAGTAAACTGAATATTTACCATTTTTTTTACTATAGTATCAATAGGATACAAATGTTTTACCATTCCTCAATGGATATCTGTGGTGCAAAACATTTCTTTTTTTAGGTTACTTCTGGATCATCTTAATATATATCTGTAGTATTTACATATGATATATGCATTCCTTGGATTAAATCAGAACCTAAACCCTCCAAAAAATACATGCACTTTTAAGAACTTTGTTTGCAAGAGATGCCTTGGGACAGCCTGTGAAAGGAAAAATAGTCTGGGTGCTATATCCATTATGCATGTTTTATTTAAGTATATTTTCTCTGCTGTCACCTTATTCTTTCGACTTTGTAACTGTTACAATAGACACTGGATGACCCTTTCCACTTGTTCTTATATCAATAACAAGCCTGTCCCACTTTAACCTTACTACGAAAAAAAAAACAAAATTTCTCTAAGACACCAGGAAGAAAATGAAATAACTCTAAACGACTTAAAATCCTTCTGTAATATTAATTTGACGTTTTCATCCTTGGGCCTCCACCAATAACACGTCGTTTATTTATAATTAGTGCATGTAATACTGCGCCCTTGCCACTTGCTGTTATTTCTTGCCAAATTGTATCTGTATTAACCTGAATATATCAATAGAATAGATTTACAAATTTAGAAACATGTAGACGACAGAAGTAAACAAACATAGACCGTAAGAAGAGCATTAGATGGCTCTACCATTCCTTGTCTTTAGCGGGAAATTTGAAATTGGCAACGTCACAAACATGGCAGTTATACATGCACAAGGAAAAATATAGCTTGCTCTGACTTCGTATATCCTCAAATTCTATAGAACTCTGTTATATATAATACGTGGCCTTCAGTAGTGATCATTGAATCTTCTTCATGGATATTATGGTAAGATTGTAGAATCTCTCTTGCATTTCCTGAAACCATGCGCCTGGTTGCCTGGTTCTCCATTTTACTCATCTTCTCCCGATCCTTCACCATTGACCTAGGCTGGGTCACCCGCATCCTCCTCCTCGGCTGTATGGCCGTAGACGATTCGCATGGCAGATCATCTCGCCCCGCAGAGTGTACGGGTTCTGCCCCACATAGTTCACAGGACCGTTCCGCTGGGGCCTCAAAGCTGCATTCGGGCCTCACGTTCTCAGACGAACTTCTCTCACCAGGACGAGGCCATCCACGTCAAACCCTGTATGACGTCTCACACGCCTGTCATGATCTCGCACCTGCCTATGTCTGGAGTCTCTTGCAACCTGGCTGCAGTCTCTCGGGCGTCGTTCAGCCTCACACGCAACGTCCTCGCGGCATCCTCGTCCTCATCTTCATAATTCGTAAGGTTTCCTGGGAAACAAAGTCTATGTCTGTAAGAAGATATTGGCTCATACTGCGATGCAGCGCCGTGTTCAGCGCCAGTCTTACGTACGGCAAAAGATCGTTCCAGGCGTTGGGTGCTGATCTACAAGTGTTACAACCGAATCGTTTATGACACGATTGCTGAACCATTAGCCTGTGGGTGCGGTTGCATACATCGCTTTAATCTGCAATATAATACACATATTTCTAAATAATGCCCCGTTATCAGTTAATAATGCTTTCGGCGGCTCAAACAGACTAACATATTCTTCACGACCGCATTATTAGAATAAAGAGGAACCAGTTGCCACTCGCAGTATCCAGCATGTCTGTCAGATCAGCCGAGACCCTATCAAACGGCTGTGAGTTCGGGCATCGAGGTCAAAGGAGTGTGTATATATATATATATATATATATATATATATATATATATATATATATATATATATATATCATGTTCCCGATTTGCACACACACACACACACACACACACACACACACACACACACACACACACACACACACACACACACACACACACGCACGCACACACACACACACACGCACACACACATATACACACACACACACATATACACATGCATATATATATATATATATATATATATATATATATATATATATATATATACATATATATATATATACACATACATATATATATATATATATATATATATATATATATATATATATATATGTATGTATATATAAATCTATTTGTATATATGTATATATATGAGTGGGTGCTTCATGCTCAGGATGATGTGAAGCGATGGTGTGGTAGGCTAGTTGGTGTTAACCCATTGCCGCCGGGGATGGCATGTACGTACATGCCATGCCCACTGTGAGTCGACTTGTTCGATTGTTTTTACACATAGATGGCTACACTTGTACTAAGTAACCAATGAGCCAATTACAAGAACTGCCTGTCTCGCCCGTTCACCCTTTTCATCGATTTACGAAAATATTTAACGTTATCCTAATTTGCTGTCAAAAATAACACCACCTATATTTATAGCACTAGTAAAAATACGTTTTTTCCCGCCAATTCAAGGAAAGGTGAAATCAGGACTAGCAGAGCCATCTATGGACAGAGATATTTCACAAAAATATAAAAAATGAGTACAGAATTTCCCCATTTTTTGTTCAATTTCCACGGCAGCAATGGGTTAAGTGCTTTCATGCCTTCTCGTCTGCAACTGCCACAGCTAGTTAGCCAAGTCCGAAAAAGGGAGCAGCTCTGCGTAAGCCTCCCCTCCCAGTTCACAGCCTCTCCGTCATCGAGACTTCTGCAATACCTCCTCGTGGCCACCCATGGAAACTGTGGTGGATCTCGAGGCAGCAGGGGGCCTCAGAGGTGGACACGCCCTGGCTCCGTACTAACTTCTGCCCCTCAGCCATCCTGGGGTTAATGGGCAGCTCGGGGGAGGTGGGCCTTGCCAGCCCTCCTCCCCCCAGCTAACTCACTGGCAATGTCTAGAATAAAAGGATATGCTGAAGGGAGAGTGCTGTCCCAAACAGCTAGTTAGAGCGATGGGGCGGTAATCTTGAGGGAGGGTACCCGATTTATTGAGTTTCAAGAAGGGGAGGATAAGAGCTTTTCACCAATGAGAAGGAAAAATTCCTGACATCCATATGTGGTTGAAAATAGTTCATAGGAAGGATAGAGAGGAAGATGGAAGGTGTCAGAGCACACGGTAGTGAATACCGTCAGGGCCTTCATGAGTGTTGCAGCACGACTGTAAGGCAGCGTTGAGTTCAGAGGAAGAAAAAGGAGCATTATAGGACTCAGCAGAGGATAGGGTGAAGATGATAGGGGATCGTTCCCTGGTGGTCTTAATGTAAGAGAAGTGTGGAGAAAGGTGAGAGCCACTACTGACCTGGCTGAAATAGTCACCCAGTTCATTAGCGACTTGGAGAGGATCAGAGATGAGAGTATCACGAATATGGAGGACGGGGGCTGGATGGGGGGGGGGGATGTTTGCCTAATAGTCTATGGATCCGACGCCAGACAAGTGAAACTGTTGTAGATGAAACTGAGGAAACATAATTTCGCCAGTTATTTGTTTTACTGTACCGGATTGTACAAAGAAGAACAGGTGGATGCTCTTTTAAAGGATATAACGGCTAATAGTTGATAAAGGGGCGGCCACGGGAGTTGGTGATAGAATCACCCCAAAGAGTGTGGCGGCAGTTAAAATCACCAACTAGGAGGAAAGGTGGCTGGAGTTGGGAAATTAGATTTTCGAAGGCAACAAAGTCAATGGGGTGGGAAGGGGAGAAGTATACTGAAATAACTGTGATCCAACGGCGAAGAAAGATGCAAATAACTATGCACGGGACAGATAATGGAAGAAAGGATATGGCGAAGGTCAGGTCTGTGAGACCGAAAACCGCGAATATTCCAATGTAAGAGAGCTATAATTAGTTGATCTATGAGTGATTACGGTTATAGTGCGTGTTGGAGAATTTGAGGGCGAAGGAGCTTGGGGGATGAGATAAGGAATGAAAGGGGGGCGGTTGTGTAGTATCAGGAGGGGTATCAGGATGTGGAGGATCTAGGGAAGGGAATAGTTGTGACATATTGGATTCACATATATCCAGGAGGGAGTGGAAGGGATAGAGGGGATGGAGGGAGGGTTAATGTAGGTGGAGCTGGAGCTTGGGGGGGAATGGACTGTGTTGGGAGGGAGTAGGAGGAAGGAGTGTAGGGGGAATATGAGTAGGAGGAGGATGGATATCGGCAGTCACTTCGAATGTGGAGGGAGCGGGGATTGTGGAATGTGAGGGTGGACGAGGGTTTTCGGTGTCCATTTAGGACTCGAGCAGATAGTTTTGAACATCTGCTAGAGTTTCTGTAATGGAGTTGTTTGAGGAGTTTTGTGAGACAAATGAAGGGGGAGAGTAGACTGGTGTCTAAGGAGTAGAGGCAAAGGTAGGTGGAGGCGAGTGTGTGGTAGGAGAAGGGGTGGAACGTTTAGTTTGTCTGCTGTGGAGAGGGGAATGTGTTGGGGCTGCAGTAGAGATTGGAGTGTCTGGATTTAGAATGGCAAAAGAATTTGACAGGGGAAGGTTGGCGGTAGAAGTTGGGAAGTAAGCTGTAGGAGGGATAGCTATAGGGGAACATGTAGGAACGTCTTGGGAGGGAGGGGGAGGGGCAGAGCGAGCAACATTACTGGAGTAAAGATAAACCTCGTCCACGTGCTTCCTGTCTGGCATCATGCAGAGTGAGACCAAGTCTGAATCTGAGAGTTACTACCTCATTCTCAAACTTGCAGCCATATAAAATACATTATTGACTGTGCTGAGCAGTTTGATCAGTTATAACCAGGTTGGGCATATAAAGGGCATCAGGCCGTGGAAAGACAGTGTTTGGCGGGATGTCCTAAACGCCAACAATTTTGACACTGATGTGATATGGTTGGACAGGGGGGATTCTCCACCAACGTAAATATTAAAGGGAATGTCATGTCTATGGAAAGTAATATTGGCAATGTTGGTGGGGTTCTTATGATGACCCCTAAGAGGAATGGAGTAGCGCTGTACTGATATCACATCATTGTCCGTGAGGCTGGCAAGTAAGTCTTCTCCACAATCTGACCAGATAGGGCAGTTTGCTAAGGAAATAGAGACAGTTCTGGTAAAGGTATTGAGGGTTGGATGAGGTTCTGCAGGAATGGGGGTGCTAGAGAGATCAGTTAGAGTTGATGATGCTATAGCTTTGTTTCCGGATGTAACTGTGATGAGACGGGACCGATCGGGTCAGCTACGGAAAGAGACTTTGCCTACTTGTTTTTGGAGACATGCCTGGAAGGGAAGAGTGTTGTCAGAGTATGGAGCTGTGTGTGTGTGTGTGGGGTCACAAAAATTTGGTCCCATCTGGCTGGGCTGGGCTGAGGCCCAAAGTAGGGGAGTTCCCCATCACTGGGTCCCAGTCCTCACCTCCTAAGCCCAACCCGTGACAACAACAGGTAAGGGATTGGGGGGTATATATTTAGGTATGTATGTATGTATATAAATATATAAATATATAAATATATATATATGTGTGTGTGTGTGTGTGTGTTGTGTGTATGATTGAAAAAAAATCCTGTTGAAACATGTGCAGTTCTATAGTATGGCCAATGGTGCAACCAGAATTTAAACTGATAATGTGCATATTAACCCATTCACGACGAGTATGTCATGTATGTCCATGCCATGCCCACTGTGAGTTTACTTGTTTAACTGTTTTTACACATAGATGGCTACACTTGTACTAAGTCAACAATGAGCCAATTATGAGTGCTGCCTGCCTCACCCGTTTACCCTTTTTTTTAATTTACGAAAATATTTTACACCATCTTATTTTGCTATTACTAATGTTTATAAAATTATAGTAATTATAATATTTATAATAAAAATAACACCATCAATATTCATAGCACTGTTAAAAAATACATTTTCCTGCCAATTCAAGGAAAGGTGAAATCAGGTACGGCTAAGCACTAGCAGAGCCATCTATGTGTAGAGACATTTTACAAAAAATATAAAAAATGAGCACAGCATTTTCCCCATTCTTTATTCATTTTCCCCGGCGGCAATGGGTGAAGACAAGGAAGATATATAGATTGGGTGGGGTGGGGATTCCAATAAATGACACTGTTGACACACAAGCCCTAATTGTTTTTATAGACATTTTACAAAAATTGAATACCCCTAAAAGGTTGAAGTTCATGGTTTTGATATGGTAGATTTTATTTCATGATGACCCAATATTTCACTCTCCTGTCCCCTTCAAGTTTAAGAGGGTTTAGGCATTTGGATATGTTCTTCTGTCACTTAATTGTCCAGCAAATACTTGACATTCTCTAAGCTCTGGCCACTTCTCACAGTGGGACTGAGAAAACACAAGCTGCTCAATGTCTTTTTGTAAGATCAGTTGTTTCTGGTGCATGATGAGTAACCTGGGAAATACTTTTTTTTGCCTCTCCCCCTCTACAAGTAAATTGATCATCAATGTATAAATAGTCCATGTTTAACTGCATTGCAATTAACCCACTGGCACTTTTATTTCTAATAATATTACCATATTTCTTATCATTATTGACATTATTATTATAATTATTATTATATTATTATCAATACTCACAATGACTGATTGACTGATTTGGTTTTATGTCACAAACTCCCTTGCAAGGGCTAGGACAGTGTCTTCTTTTGAAGGACTTCTGTTTTGGCAGACGATGGCCGTTGCGCTGAGTGGATGCCCTTCCTTTTAATCTTGGACCATTGGTGCAGGATTCAAATTGTGCTGTGTAACTGATCCTCATGTTCCTCAACAATGCATGATACTGTTGCAGCATGGCCATATTAATAATACTAATAGTAATAAAAATAAAAACCTTTCTTTCCAAAAATTCTAGGACTAAGGCTTAAATAAGTGAGCTTAGATAAGTTCTTGTGAGTCATGTATGTATTAACAACATTAATAAACTAAGATCACAAAGCACAGGGCATGTAAACATGACCTTCCAGCATCAATGGGTTAAAAAAAAACTTTGGATATATATCAACAGGGATATATTGCCACTTTTCCTGTACATAATTTAAAATTTGGTTTTACAAATATTTACTTGTAATATAAATATAGCACAGATAGAGGCTGAATGAGAAAGAGAGAGAGAGAGAGAGAGAGAGAGAGAGAGAGAGAGAGAGAGAGAGAGAGAGAGAGAGAGAGAGAGAGAGAGAGAGAGATTTTTTTACTTGCTCTTATATTTGTTAAACTAAGAAAATCTTACTTAAATATGTATACCTCATGTGCACTAACTGTAAAGTCATAACAAATAAAGATGCTGCCAATAGGTAATACCATCTTTGGCAGATATCTTCTCATAAACTTTGACATACATTACTTGAACATTGTAAAAGTTGTTTCCCTTTGCTTCTACCAGGTGTAGGTGAAAGTACCTTAGAGATATTGTTAACTTTTTATTTTATATGTACTCTCATGTGCTTTTCTAGATGTTGTTTCTGTGAGAAAGCTTTGCAACAAACCTCACACGTATAAGGCTTTTCTTTTGTATGTACTCTCCTATGCACTACTAGAGCATCTCTCTGTGAGAATTTTTTGCTGCATTCCTCACAGCTATAGGGCTTTTCTTTTGTATGCACTCTCGTGTGTTGCTCAAGATGATGTTTATGAGAGAATGCTTTGGAACATATCTTACATATATAAGGCTTTTCTTTGGTGTGCACTCGCATGTGTGCAACTTGGTGACTCTTCTTTGAGAATGCTTTGCTACAAACTTCACAGCTGTATGGTTTCTCCTTTGTATGTACTCTCATGTGAATTAAGAGATGACCATTATATGAAAATGTTTTGCAACATACTTCACACACAAAAATCTTTCCTTTTTTATCAACTGTTAAATGTGTTACTTTTTCCTTAAAATTCGTAGGTGCCTTTTGACCCCCTGAAGAATTTACATTCCCACAATCTTTAACCACAAGTGGCACTATTTTTAATGGATCTTCATACTCACACATCAGAACCTCTGAGTCGCTTTTATTTGCTTCCACATCAGCAATTTCAGGACACTCACTTGCACTTATATTATTTTCTGCTTTTAGAAAGATGGTATTTTCTTCGCCTACATAGCTGATAACTTCTTTTTTTATCTCCTGGCAATTTTCCTCACTGACGTCTTCAATTCTCTCTTCCTTAACAGAAATGAATTCTATCGTGTTGTCATATCCCTTTGTATCCAAACTTGAGTCATCCATGATGATACATGAAGTAACACACTCAGTAATTACACCAACAGCTGTAAAAAAACCCCAAAAAACACAATGATAAGTTATCATTCTTGGGTTATCATGTATTTTTTAAAACTTCCTCTCATTCTACCCTTCATTAATTGCTGATGAATCACATACAAAAGTGAAAAAATTACAGGTCTGGGCAGGTATAAGTGGCACACTACAGTGGTTGGTAGATAAGTTGTTACTGTGTTACTGTCTTCCGTGGGTGTAACTGTCTTTGAAATAGATTAACATCAATTTTTTTTTTTCGTGTTACTGATCTGCTCAATGTTTTCCATGATTGTGTCAAAGGTGCCAGTTATTGTGATAATATGAAGAGGGTGTTATTTTGAGGTAAAAAACATGAGAATGAGATAGAGAGAGAGATCATATTTCAGTAGCAAGTAATGGCCGAAAATAATGAGGAAACTACAGTTCTTTTCTTTTATTATGCAGAGAAAAAGAGAGAGAGAGAGAGAGAGAGAGAGAGAGAGTGAGAGAGACAGAGAGAGAGAGAGAGAGGATTTAGGTTTAGTTTGATTCCATTTGTTACAATGGATATTCTTGGTGTGACATAATGTCTGTTTCATTTTGCTTCTAAGTTATCCAGTGTGCAAGGAATGGCCGGGGTTACCATCCACTGGCGGTGAGGGATTTGAACGCAGATCAGCAAGACTGCTTGATGTGAGAGAGAGAGAGAGAGAGAGAGAGAGAGAGAGAGAGAGAGAGAGAGAGAGAGAGAGAGAGAGAGAGAGAGAGAGAGAGAAAGAGAGAGAGAGAGAGAGAGAGAGAGAGAGAGAGAGAGAGAGAGAGAGAGAGAGAGAGAGAGAGAGAGAGAGTGTCAAATGAACAAAGCTGGTTGTCAACCACAGCCATTGGGGAGAATGGGGCCAAAGGACTGAAATATTACCAAATATTTTTCACACACAGCTAACCTTCACACTTATAATAAGATTAACGTATGGAGGTTGAGATGAGAGAGAGAGAGAAAGAAAAAAAAGACCGAAAGAGAGATAAGTAAAGATTGAAAGAGAGAAGGAAGGACATGGATAAAGAGAGGGGTAAAGACAGAGAGAAAGAGAAATCAAAATTATATTTTCTGTCAACTGTATCACCTTGGTGATACAGTTATTTCTATATGGAGCTGTACCAGCAAATAAATCAATTTGATATTAGAATCCCTTTTAGAAACCTGTTTTTACACATGCCTGTGCTACAAAATCTATTTGTTAGGAAAAACTGACATCACAAATTTTTCATCAGTACATATTTTAACTGGACCAAACAATTGGACTTTTCATTCATTGAAAAATGTTATCATTACATAAAAAAGAGTAAGTAAACTATTTTCCAAATATATAAAGTCCATCTATGACATTTGGGTTAGAACACAGTTCTAATATGTCTAAATTAGAGATTCTAGAAGGCAATTAGTAAAGCAATATAATGTTATGAATGAGAATTTATATCACAATGCAAATGGTATCTTCTGAAGCAGTAATAACTTGTATTGTGAAATTTTTCCCTTCTCAATGTCTGTCAAAATTGATTAAACAGTAATAATAATGATAATACAATTCCAGAATATAGTAATTCCAACATTATAAATGCAATAAAAAAGATAATAACATATATTAAAAGCAAATAATAATAATATGACAACAATAACAACAACACTACTTACTTCTTCAGACCAGTCCATATATCTGCAAAATCACATGCAGCATCCTTAACATCTTGCAACAGCTAATGGATTCCTGCAAAAGATTGAATAGTCACTTCCACATTCCACGATGCTAAATCAACTGCAAGCTGTTCAAACAATCAATAATCATTCACATCTCTGTAATACAAAGTGTTAAAGAACTGGCAACAACCTCCTTTACAAAGTTTAGAAAAAACATTTATTTACATAATGGTATGGAAGTAAGACACATTGCAAAGCATAAAGAAAATGGAAAGGATGATGTGTATTCAGACTTTTGAAATTGTAGTCAAAAGAAAAGAAATATTGCTGGAAACAAAAGCGATCATATACATATTTCTGTAAAACAATACTTAACAGATGGACCCTCATTCCTGTGCAGTAATATATCAACAATTTACAAGCAGGCTGTAAAGTTTTGCCGCTCATCTTCAGGTCTTGACATATTTTCCCTAGAAAAATCTTTCCCCATGAAAGTATTTAAAATATATAAATATAAATATATAAATAGATAAATAAATAATTATGAAATATAGTCAGTGGTTAAGTTCATACAAAAATATTGGTAAACTAAACTAAATAAATTGTTGAAGTTCAAACAGACCTTTTTACATTTTTTTGTACTGATATCTCTGTTGTCTAATTATTCTTGATAAGTTATACAACCCTCCTCACTGAATATCCTTTTTTTTTGTTTGAGTTTTATTATTGTGACTACTGTCTCTTACTATTACTAGATGATCACTTCTGCATTAACGTTTGCTTTAATATCTAAGTGACTTAGTTCTAGGGCTCCTATTGCAACGTCACTTGTTGTACCCTTTCCTGTTTTAGGGTCTATTCTGGTGGTCCTCCCAGCAGCAGTAGCAGCACTAATTTGTTTTGGTTTATTAAATTGAAAGGATTATTCCAGTTTTATTAGATGCTTTTGAATTCCCTTGTGGGTTCCATAAGGGATGGTGAGCATTAAAGTCTCCTATTATCAATATGTTTTTTTCTAATTCTTTTTTCCTCTTTATTTATTTTATTACAAGGTTATAAATTAAGAAAAAGCTTAACCATTCTTGTCTTCTTTTTGTAGCAAATTTTTATAGCTATTGGTTCTAACATGTTATTGTGTCTATCTCTAAGGCTGAATTTTTTTTGACTGTATATTATTATATACTGTATAGAGATTATTAACCGTACTCCCTTTTGTTCTGTCCTGTCTTTTCTTATTTCCTAATTTTGTATTTTAAGGATGTCATTTTAAACAAGTTTCTCAGACTGCAATTTGCTCAGGATTTTCTTTATCTATTAAAAAACATATATATGTATGTATATATATATATATATATATGTATATATATATATATATATATATATATATATATATATATATATATATATATATATATATATATATATATATATATATATATATATATACACACACTTTTTTCCCAATATGGATCTGGTATTCCAGAGAATTTATTTATTTATTTGTATAAACTAGTATCTAATTTTAAGACTGGGGTTACTTTTGCTAATATCTCTGCTATTATATCAGTTCCTGACTTCTCTAATTTTAAGTATATTGCTATATTTGATATTAGTTTGAATATATTTTTTGCAATTTCAATCCAAGATGGATCTTTCTCATTCTTTTCATTTTTTCAGTCTTTTCTTTGAAATTTTTGTGTTCTTTGTTTTCCATGTCTGTTCATGTTATCTCTCTCTTTTAAATGCAATTATTGCATATAAGTTCATTTTTGCAGGAAGTGATCCCATGACCATACATTAAGCACTTGTTATGTCTGGGGATGGGAAATGTATACTAGAAAACTTGTGTGGCCTATAGCTATATTATGGTGGGTAGTGAATGTTATTTTTAGTGTTTTAGTAGTTAATTATCAATTTTCTCCTTTAAAAAAATATTCTAGTTATTTCTTTTATTTGGGTGTCTGATAGTCACAATTTTTTTTCTTAATCTTTTGGATATCCATTTCTGTTTCCATGGGAAATGGTACCATATGGACACCCTTGATTTCTGCTAGAGGCCAGTTGTTTGTGAGATGTTTTATATAATTCAAAAGTCTTTTTACAGTTTTAATTGAAATGAAGCGTAATGTCGAAACTGAAGAATTTGACCTTGCCATCCAATGCAACATTATAAGGCCGTTTTCTTCAATAGTATTTCCTTTGAAAATTATTAATAACGGTAGTTAAGAGGATATAACAATAAAAAAATCATGGCACTTTGCTTCCAGCAGCAAAAGAAAAACACAAAAAATTGGGGAAGTGACAAAATAATGGAATTATAGTGGATGACATAAGTGAGGGAAATCAAATGAGCCAATGGGTATTGTATTTGGCCATAAGGTGACGGTAGACACTAGTGACCAGTCTATTACAGCCAAAATGATCTGTAATAGATGATCACGTGACAATAGAATCTGGACTCAAGGGAAGTCATTAGAAATTCAAATCAGTTTCCTCTTGACTAGGCTGTGTATAAGGTGCTGTTTCACCTTTGATAAAC